TACTGTCACATATATATACTCCTGCTCTTGCTTGTTTAGCCTCTTATATATATATGTGCTCCTGCATGTGAACTGGCCTTCTGGCCTTGAACTTGTGCTCGGAATGTGTGGTGACTTTGTGATCCACCCTGAGCTTTGCTTTGCTTTGCTTGACTGGTCTTGTGACCCCTTGTTCTCCCCCACTTTGCCTATGGGGGTGTGTCAAATTATAATGTTGTCTAGGCTTTAGTGGGGTAGCCCATATGGGGTACACATTTTTAGGGTTGCATATTTGTATCACTCTCATTCCATAGTCATCTCATTCTCATTCTAAGTTTCTCAGTATGCGGGTACCTAAATGCAGTTGGTTCACGGTTTTACGTAATTTTCTCCCTCAGCTTTTGTTAGTGACTGTGGATTTCTGGTGGTGAAAACTGGGTCTGTGCAATATCCGTGGGTGAATAGGCCTGTTAACTGTCGGTTGGTTTGGGCAAGTAGGATTGCGCCAAGTTGGGCAGTGGATGAGGGCGTCTACGATATTCGATCCCCCTTTTTTTACGTGCGGTGTAGTGAATAGTGGACTCCGGATAGTCCAACCACCATATCTGTCGCGAATTGAGGTTCGGTTGGGCACGTAGGTACTATAGTGAACAGTATTCTGTTTGTACTGTAATATCGACTTCTATGAGGTAACCCCGCCACACTTTGAACGCGTGCACGATCGCCAGCATCTCGTGGTCGTCTATCGGGTAGTTGCTGTCAGAATGAACAAGAGTGTGATTGAACTAGGAAAGAGTTGGGTACACGTAAGAAACCCTAAACTTACTGTACCCCATAGTAACTACCCCACTACAGCCTAAGCAAACTGTAGCAGATATGACATTTGAACGTTGCTTTCGGGCGGGTGAAGCTTGCAGGAGCCATACGCGATTGGCTGAAGGCCGTTCCCAAAGCCATGCAACAATACTTCTCCCACAACGATGTCACTTCCCTCGATGACCAGTTCGAACGGGCTGTGAGGATCACCAGTGTGAAGCACGAACGACGAGCACAAAATATTTTTTAGGGCCAAGTAAGCACTTTGCTCTCTCTCCCCCCATGTGTACTCAGCCCCCTTCTTTAGCAGATTGGTTAGTGGGGCAGTCAGCTTCGCCATGTCGAGGACGAACCGTCGCACGTAGTTGACGAACCCCATAAAACTTTGCAATTCGGTCAGGTTTGTCGGCGCGTGCCATGCTTGAATCGCCACGATCTTCTCTGAGTTAATTTTCACGCCGTTGGGTGAAGTAATATGGCCCAAAAACTCCAGTCTGTCCTGTAAAAACTCACACTTAGAGGCTTTGGCCGGTAGGCAGTTTCTTCCTAGGATCTTAAAAAATGCTTCGATGGCCTATATGTGTTGTGCTCTGAACTGAGCTGTAGGTCATGATATCGTCTAAGTAAACGATACTTATCTAAGAGTTGGCGGAAGGCTTCGTTCATGGTCATTTGAAATGTGGCGGGGGCGTTGGCCAGTCCGGAGGGCATGACGGTGTATCCGAATGAACCGTAGCGGGTGCAAAAATTGGTTTTCGGGCAGTCGGGTAGGTTTACACAGATTTGATGGTAACTCCTTCGGAGGTCGACCTTAGAGAAAACGCGGGCTGTGCGAAGTTGATCAATGAGTTCATCGTCTTGCGGAATAGGGTAACAGGACTTGATCGTAACCCTATTCAATATGTGGTAATATATGAAGTGTCAAAAGACTAGACAAGAATCAGAAACAGGAAAGAGGGTTTTCACTAGCAGGCGGTTGAGTACATATAGCAAACCCTAATTTGGGCTGTACTCGCTATAGAGTACCCCACTTCAGGCTAGACAAACATCACATTCTGACACACCCCCATAGTCAAAGTGGGGTATAATCAGCACAGCAAGCAGGCAGAGCAGTAGGTTCACAAATACAAGCAAAGCTAGAGGCAGTCATAGAGGGCAAGTGAGGAGGAGGAACTGTGAGAAGAGTGGAGATAGGAGGCGTCTGGTGAAGCCGTAGACACACGGGCAACAGGAACGGCGCGCACGGTGGCTACTGGGGCACTCAACCTCCGGACTACAGGAGTGATTGGCTCCGCGCTAAGCAGCAGCAGGAGCAACAGACCCACGGGCGACTGGCAGCAGCAGGCTCGCTGGGCTACCGAAGTACTCAAACGCCGGACTACTGGCGCTGCTGGCGTCACACCGGCTACCTCCGGTCAACCTCCCCCAACTGTCCCACACCCCTTTCACACACTCCCTGCTGTACCCCTAGCATTGCTCACACGCCACCCCCCTCGTACCACTCCGACGGCTCCAACACATCCACCCCCCTCAGCGGCAGCTGCAGCAGTGGGAGACGGAGGAGGAGGAGGAGCAGGGGACGGGGCACACACCCTTCACCCCCATACTCGCTACCCCCACACTCGCCACCCCCACACTCGCCACCCCCAAACCCTAACACAGGCAGCAGCGGGGGGCGGTGCGCGGGCAGCAGCTCGGGGGATGGTGCGCGGCTTGGGCGCAAGCTGTACGGGCCGCGCACGACCCTGGCGCGGGCCGTACGAACCGCGCGCGTGCTGTACGGGCCGCGCGCGGGCCTGGCGCAGCCCGTACGAGCCGCGCACGGGCCTGGCGCAGGCCGTACGAGCCGCGCGCGGGCCTGGCGCAGGCCATACGGGCCGCGCGTGGGCCTGGCGCAGGCCGTACGGGCTGCGCGCGGGCCTGGCGCAGGTCGCGCGGGCTGCATCGGGCAACGGGGGGCGACGCGCGGGTCCCCGGGGGCGCCTCGACGGGCGACGAGGTAGGAAACCGCCGCGCGCCCCGAGCACCCAGCAGGAAGAAAAAAACGCCGCGCGCCCTGAGCGCGCGGCACGCAGCAAACATCGAGTACGCAGAGCGTGCGATAGGCAAGACACCACCGGAAGCATCGGGTGGGACCACCCACAGGATCGACCAAGGAGGGTCGGCCTGCTTTGATAGCATGTCAACAGACTAGGCAAGAATCAGTAACAGGAAAGAGGATTTTCACTAGCAGGCAGTTGAGTACATATAGCAAACCCTGATTCGGGCTGTACTCGCTATAGAGTACCCCACTGCAGGGTAGACAAACATCACATTCTGACATGAACATGCGAAATCCCCCATCTTTCTTCAATGTGAAGAGTATTGGCGTGGCGAAGGGTGACGAACTCGGGTGAATGGTTTTTGTACTCGTGCAAGCTGCTTCCGTAGTTCTTCAGTTCATGTTGGGTAAGTCGAAACTATCACTGTACTCTCGGCTGTGTCCCCGGTTCTAACTCTATGCTGTGGTCATGCGGTCTCTGATGTGGCAGTCCTTCCGGTAAGTCATCTAGAAAGGTTCCAATGTACTGCTTCAGTATCGATGCCAGGTCATCCGTTAGGTCGACTGGCAGTTTCTGCAAATCACTAGGTTTGTCTGTTGCTTCGGCTCTATTTCGACACCTTCACCACCTCCCCACCGTTCCCCGCCCCCGCCGCAGCCATTGTCATAGTTTTTACCATCACCAGCGTAGTCCTCGAAGTAGCCAGAGCAACCTTTGTCGCCACTGCAGCCTTTGTCGCAGCAGCAGCCTTCGTTGCTGCCGCAGCAGTCGTCACTTCCGCGGCTGATCTCCGAGGACTGCAGGTTCAGGGGGTGCTGCCGGTATGGGTGCCGGCTCTTTGGATGTTGTTCTTTGGGGTGTAGACGTTGGGAGTCCACACCATATTTTCCAACCTTCGGTCCCACGTTTCCTCCTCTGGTCTCGTCTCCGGCTCGTCTCTCTCCTCATTCACACATGTCTCCCCTTTTTGTTGACTCGTCTCGTGCCTCCCACTACAGGGGTCGGCGTCTCTTTCGTGCTCGCCCAGTGTCCTCCATTCCTAGTATCCAGTCCATGCTCTTCTGTTCGCGCCCCCCTGATGTTCCTCCACCCGCTGTACTCCCGTCGCCTCCTCCGTCGTCCCTGTTCTCTCTTCCAATCCGTTTTCTGACTTTATCGGGGCCGCTCGCGCTGTGATCATTCTCAATACAAATCATATATTTTCTTGCTCTCTGTCCTCCTTATATTACATGATTCCCACTCATTTTATATTCTCCTCTCTTTTCACCCCTTTTTCCTTCCCATTTCTAGTCATCTCCCCCATTTCTCGTCCTTGATAGGAGCAATATAATAGATGCATTATATTGATGAAGTAGAAGATGATGCGAGATTTGCGTGACGCTTTAGCGAGATTTCGAGTCAGGTTCTGATGCTCGCGACTGGTCGTTGAACTACGCACCCGCGACACCGATCGCGGAGCCTACCTCCACCGTTTCGGGCGACGCTATATGACATTGCCTGTTTTGGAGGTGCCAGCTATTTTTCTGTCGGTCCGGTACGGTTGAGAGGTGCTCTGAATGGATTAGGTTGAGTTGAGAGGTGATGGACAGGAGATGATGCTTCCCCACTATTAGTAGTGCCCACTAGTACTAGAGCAAGGCAGTTCACAAGTTGTGGCTTTAAATCGAGGTTTTAGTGCTGTGAAACACGAGCGAGAAGGCAGTAGCACGAGGATTGCGTGGTTGCAGCAAAGGAAACGTGTTTCGCGCTCGCAATGCGTGTGCCGCGGGGATCAGCGTGCGCGTCGCGACACGGATGACCGCACACTGGTCGTGCAGCAACGGAGTCTCTTTCCACTTGCGAACCAATGAATTTCGCAGCTCGCGCGTAGCGCGCCATCTCTTTCGTCGCCCCAATCGCGATTGGCGACTCACCGGGTCCAGCAGAGTCGCAGAAGAACCCTCCTCTCCGCGGCATCCACGTCAGCATCTAGGTTTGCTGTCCGTTCGCGACGCGCATGAGCCAATGGGCTCTCCTGCCCCTCCTCGCATTCCTAGACGCGTTAGATGATCCTTGAGCCGATCCGAACCCATTTCCACCGCCTACCAACCCCCCCACCCTGACCCCCTTTCCTAATCATCCCTACCCGCATTCCCCGCTCCCCTGGCCATCGTCCATCCCGCCATGCCGAGCCAATCCCGGGGGCGGCACGTCGCTTCGCCGTCCGCCGCCCCCTCCCGCGCGGGCGGGCGCGCGGACGCGCAGTGGGACGCGCACTGGGATCCGCCGGCGTTCCGCCGCTGGCTGCTGGGCTTCGCGGCGGTGCGCTTCGACCTCGAGCAGGGTCAGCTCGTCGAGGCGCTCTTCCCCGCGGGCGCGCTCAGCGCGGAGGAGGAGACTGACGTGGCGTTCTCGTCGTTCCCCGACTCCATGTCCGCCGTGCACTCGCGCGCCTCGCTCTACGACTGCCTCTTCTTCTTCCGCATCCGCCGCCGCGGCGTTCCGCCTGCCCTCGCCGCCACGAGCGGTGGGGTTGATAACGGGGCGGGCAGCAGCGGCGACGGCACGGGGGAGGGGGCTGGGCGGAGTGCGCTCGCCGCGCAATCTCCGCTGCTGCAGCAGCAGCACGTGCACACTAGTGTCGGTCTGGGGGCAGCAGGGGGAGCAGCCACGCGGGCGACGAGTCGGGCAGAGCGGTCCGCCGCGTCCGCGCGGAGGCAGTCCGCCAGCCCGCCGCGGTGGGACCCGGGAACCAATCGCGCGACAACACCTGGCACGACCCCGCGGCGAGGCATTAGCGTGGGGCACGGCGGGGGGCCGGCGGGGGCGATGGCGGAGAGCATCAGCGCGCCCGCGTCGTCTCTCACCAGCCCCACGGGGCTCGTCGCCGCCGCCGCCTCGCCCTTCGCGCGGCTCGACAGATGCGCCACGGAGCCGCTCGCGGGCGGCGAGGGGGGAGACGAGGCGGAGGTACAGTGGCGCGCGCAGGCGGGGGCTGGCGCGCTGAGACACTCCGCCAGCGCGCGGGGGAGCGCGGGGCAGCGGGAGGAGGAAGCGGCGGTGGGCAGATCCGCGTCCATGGGGGCGGGGAGGCGCGCGATGCCCGCGCACAGCCAAGACGAGGACGACCGAGGGGGGAACGGCGGGTCTGGGGGCGGAGCAGCAGCAGCAGGGGGGGCGGGGAGGGGCGGGGCGCGATACCTGTACGGGTTTGTGTTCAACCGGCAGCGGCACGACGAGAGGCTGCCACGAGGCGGCGAGCAGAAGTCGGTGGTGGTGCTCTCCGAGCGCCCCTTCTCCGCCGCCTTCCGCCGCCTCGCCCAGGTCGTCGGCCCGCTCTACTTCGACCGCGGACCAATCGCGTTCGTCCAGGTGGCCGCGTGGGTCTCCCTGTGGCCTGCGCCGTACCAGCCGAGCGTGGTGGGCGGCGGGGGAGTGGGCGGGGCGGCGGGCGGTGTGATGGAGCTGCCGGTGGGGCCGCGCACGTCCCTGCGCGTGCAGCTGCCGCCCGCCCACACACTGCCGCCCGCGTCGCACTCGGCGCTGGACGACTTCACGGCCGCCATGGCGCCCGCCCCCCTCTCCACCTCCGCGCCCCAGGTCAGTCAGCCGCCCAGCTGAGCCGCCCAGGTTAGGTCATGCCAGACAGGCGCACAGCAGGTAGCGCACAGCAGGTAGCGCACAGCATGTAGCGCACGAGCATACCCGCACTCGCCCTCCCTACACCACTCCCCATTCCCCCTCCATTCGTTCCCACTGGTCATGCCAGGTAGATAACACCACGGGCAGCACAGCATCAGCCTGCACCATACACACAGCATCAGCCTGCACCACACACACAGCATCAGCCTGCACCACACACACAGCATCAGCCTGCACCACACACACAGCATCAGCCTGCACCACACACACAGCATCAGCCTGCACCACACACACAGCATCAGCCTGCACCACACACACAGCATCAGCCTGCACCACACACACAGCATCAGCCTGCACCACACACACAGCATCAGCCTGCACCACACACACAGCATCAGCCTGCACCACACACACAGCATCAGCCCGCACCACACACACAGCATCAGCCTGCTCCACACACTCATACCCCCCATATTCTTTTTCTGATTCTGATCTATCTTTTTATATTTTCTTAAAAAGACAAAAAATTATTAGCAGTATAGAAATAGATTAAAAAGTCATTAATGGAAACATGCTTAGCTTAACAAACTGTGAACACTACCAAATAGAAAATGGTAGTGTTCCCCGAAGCCAATGTTTTCAACACTGCACCTCCACTTACCCCTCACTCCATACACCGTTTTCCTTTCACCTCCCAATCACCCCTCCATCCATTCACTCACCTTCCCCATGCGGCCCCCTTCCCCCTCCCCTCTCATCTGCAGTCCCAAGAAGGGTGACGTGTTAGGCTCATCCCACCCCTGCATGCATCCGCCCCATCCCACAACCCCGCAGGGCATATTCCACGACGCGGACGTGTTTGGCATCCTGCGCGGGGTGGCGGCGCAGCTGTGGGTGCTGTGGGAGCTGCTGCTGCTGGGCGAGCCGCTGCTCGTCATCGCCCCCACGCCCGCACAGTGCTCCGAGGCCGTCGCCGCCCTCGTCGGGCTCATCGCGCCCCTGCCCTGCTCGCAGGACTTCCGCCCCTACTTCACCATCCACGACCCCGACTTCCCCGCGCTCAACGCGCTGAGGGACGGCGACGCGCTGCCCGCCGTGGTGCTGGGGGTGACGAACCTCTTCTTTCTGAAAGCGCTCAAGCACCTGCCGCATGTGCTGTCCGTGGGGCGCCCGCCGCACGGCGGGCAGGGCGTGGCGGGGGCGGCGCGGTACGGGGCGGGGGCGGGCGGCAGCTTGCAGCCGAACGGGCAGGTGGCAGTGAGGGAGAGCGTGGGGCGGCTGCCACATCAGCAGCAGTCGCCGCTGCGACGCCTGGCCACTGGCGGGCTGCTGAGGTAGGGGGCTGGGGGGGGAGGGTGTGAGGCATGGTGAGGCAGAGCAGGCATGGTGAGGCAGAGCAGGCATGGTGAGGCAGAGCAGACTGCTGAGGTGAGGCATGGTGCTGAGGGTGGCGGGCAGAGGTGGTGTGTGTGTGGGACTGCTTTGGCTGAGGGGCAGACAGGGGTGCTCGAGTGGCGCGGCAGCAGCAGCCCCTGCTGCCGTGCCTAGCAGCGGTGCATTCAACCCCCACCCATTGCCCACCCATTGCCCACCCATTGCCCACCCATTGCCCACCCATTGCCCACCCATTGCCCACCCATTGCCCACCCATTGCCCACCCATTGCCCACCCATTGCAGTGTGTGTGCTCTCAGGCTGTGGACGATGCAAGGTTGAGTCCAGTCAATGCTGTCTTACACCACTCCTTTCCCTCCCCTCCTCTCCTTACTCCCACCCTCGTCCATCCCCATCCAATTCCATCCATCTGCACCCACGCCTATCCACGCCCCACCCCTCTGTGTGTCCTGGCAGCATGCTGGCAGCGGGCAGCAAGGGCTTGGCGCGCATGAGGGGGGAGGGGCCGCTGTCACTCATGGGGGAGCACAGGGAGGCACTGTGGACCAATCACGTGCCGGCAGTCAAGCCCGACACCGCCGTGCTCAACCGCCTTCTAGACGCCTCCACTGCTCTGCACCCCTCCGCCTCCCACCGCACTCACCGTTCCGGCTCCTCCGCCACCAATGCTGCTGATGCTGCTGCCTCCCCTGCTGACGCCACCTCTCTCGCCTCTGCTGCTGCAGCTGCTGCAGGGGTGGCAGCAGGAGGAGGGAAAGGCGGCCGCCCTGCATCGGCGTCTGCCCCCCCATCCGCCGCGGCGTCTCTCTTCAGCCTGCCGGGCGCCGTGGCGGGCTCGCTGCTGGCGGGCGTCACAGGCATGCCAGGGCTGGACGATGCGGCAGAGGGCAGCACAGGGGGAGGGGGAGGCGGGGTGGGGGGGCGGGGGGCGGGGGTGAGCGGGGAGACGGTGGCGATGGTGAACAACGAGGTGCTGCGGCGGCACTTCATCGAGCTCACCACCAACTTCCTCGCCCCCTTCGGCCCCTTCCTCCGCGCCGCCGCCCCGCCGCCCGACGCCTCGCCCTACTGCGACCCGCCGTCGCTGCCGCCCTTCGACGCCGCGGAGTTTCTCGGGCAGCTTGCCGCCCGCGGCCCGGGGAAGTTTCTCGCGAAGCGGCTGCAGGCGGGCAGGTGGCTGGAGGTGTACAGAAGGTTCCTGGAAGGGCCGAACTTCATGCCGTGGTTTCAGCGGCGGCGCGCCGTGGCGGAGGCGGAGCAGCACCGGCTGTGGCGGGCGGCGCGGCTAAGGGCGGACGTGAGGAAGGCGGTGGGGGGCATGGGCGAGGCAGACCTGGTGGAGGCGTTCCTGTGCGTTGAGAGGCACATGGCGGTGGAGAGCAAGGTGAGGCACATGGCGGTGGAGAGCAAGGTGAGGCACGAGGGTGGGTGCTGTGTGTGGTGTGGTGTGGTGTGGTGTGGTGTTGGGTGTATGTATGGATGTGCGCATCTCAGCATTCACCCATTCTTTTTCAAAACCAGCTTCACCCTGGTGTGCATCCTCTCTCCCCCCCTGCCTTGCATCCCCCGGGCACGGTGTGTGTGAGCGCATGAGCAGGCGTGGCGGAGGGCGGGCGAGTCCCCTGCAGTGGGCAAGCTGAGGGGCGACCTGCGCGTGCTCTGGGCGCACATGCCGCCCGCCACGCAGCGCCTGCTGCTCCTCTCCCCCGCCCACGCCGCCTCTCTCCAGCTGCCGCCCTCCTCCGCCCCTGAGGATGCTGGGCGGGGCTCGTCGGCGGTTTCTGGGAGTGGTGAGTCAGGAGACGCTCGGTGGGGGCAGCGGGCGAGTGAAGGCGCGGGGAGTGGCAGGGAAGGGGGTAGTGGAGCAGCAGCGGCACAAGGAGCAGCGGCAGCGGCAGGGGGGAGGGGAGGCGGGTGGGCTGGTTGGTTTTTTGGGAGGAGGACCGTGGAGAGCTCGGGGAGTGGGAGTGGAGCAGGGGAGAGGCGGGTGACAGCAGGCAGTGATGGGGGGCGGAGAGAGGAGGCAGCAGAGGAAGCAGGGGCAGCAGAGGCAGGGCGGGGAGGATCAGTTGGGGCTGCTGCCACAGCTGCGGCTCCTGGTTCCGCTTCTGCAGGGCTGGACCACAACGCCAGCTCAGGTGATCTGTCAGGTGATTCTTCAGGTGGTGTGGGCGGCAGCGGGGGGCAGAGTGGGACGGTGGAGATGGTGGAGGCAGCGCAGCACCTCTCAGCGCTCGTGGCCAATCTCAGCCTGCCACCTGTCATCGCCCTCAACGGCGAATCACACCCCTCATCCAACCCTGGCAAAGCCTGGTCTGAAGCTTCCAGCCCTCCCCGAGGCTCCTCTGCAGGCTTGGGCCGAACGTCAAGCGGCGCTTCTCCACGAACGGCCGGAATTGGGTGGGGAACGGACATGTGGGACGGCAGCAGCGTTGGCTTGACGAGCAGCAGCGCGCGGAGCAGCACGCCTGCCCACCCCGCCTCCACCACCCCCAGCAGCACCACCAGCACGGGCATGGGCAGCGCAGCACACGTGGCGGGTGCACGGTTCGCCGTGTCCCCCGTGGTGCCGTTTGGGCGGCGCCCCGGGCTGTCAGTGGGGCGCACGCCGCCACGCCTGTCGTCCTCTGCCCCCGGCACGCCCCTCCACCTGCACCCGGGAGGCACCTTCCTGCACACCCGCCCCGTCCCCGCACACTCCGCCGCGCCGCACCCAGGGGGGAGGTACACAGGCGGGGGTGGCGCAGGGGCGTTAGGCGGCGAGCGGTTGAGTGCGTGTGCGAGCGCAAGGGATGAAGCGGGGAGCGGAGGGGTGGGGGGCATGGAGGGCGGGGGGGCCATGGAGGGCGGGGGGGTGAGGGTGGGGCGCACGGCCACGGAGCCGGTGCTGCCGTCGTCCTTCCACCCGCTCGCTTGATGCGCCTCCCACGCCATGCCTCGCCCCGTTTAGGGGGCTGGCAGACTGGCGTACAGAGGGAGATGGGCGCTCCTCACTGCTCCCAGTGCCCACAGCATCAGCATTGCACGCTGTGGCAGCGCGTGGCCGTTGGTAATTCTGCTCGGGTGGTGCTGTGGCTGGTGCCCGCGCTCTCCAAAACTAAACACATGGCACCATTTATTGCGTCGGCTGGAGGTCACATAGTAGAACACCAGTAGTGAGTGCGTGTATTAGAGATTGAAGGGAATGCTGAGAAGGTGCATGCCTCGTGGCGCCTCCTGTATGCCACAGCGCTTGTGAGTGCCTGGCGCACAGGGGAGCAGGGGATTGGAGGGGAAGGGGGTGGCAGCAGGAATTTGTCTACTTGCCGTTCCACTTGTGTAGTGCAGTGGGAAAATGGTCCATTCCATTGTGCTGCACGAGGGCGAATTTTCTAGTTATCACTACCGTGCTCACAAAGTGGATTTACCGCCAACTTTGGAAATCATAGTGCTTTCTGGTTTGAGAGTTTTTGAATTGGTCAGGTTTTATTTTCCGTTTGCCTGAAACTCAGTAAACAAATGGTAAAGAGTTGCCAGGGTATTGCAGCTAGATAATAAATCTCATTTCTTTTGCTACAAGGCTGTACTAAATTGAACTGTAACGAGAGCATCGATTTTTCCCTAACGAGTACAGCACGAACTCTACCAGCTCTGCGCAGATTTCATGAGTGGAGAAGCTGACTGCTACGCACCTGCACGCCATTCCCTAAACCGCCGCACCACTCGACGCCGCTGCGCAATCACCCGCCTCCAGCTCCTTCCCCTCCTTTCCGCGCCCATCCGCCCACGGCGCCTCCGCCAGTAGAGTCTCGATCTCCGCCTCGATTGCCCCGTAACAGCGCTCCTTCCCCCTCGCCCATTCTTCGCCTTCCCCGGACTTCCCCCGGCTTCCCCCGCCCTAGCCACGAGAAGCGCGCGGCGCCATGTCGTTTATGCGCGGCGATCTGCTGCAGAAGGCGCGGCTGCTGATGCGCGGCGGCGTGGTCGACCCGCCCAAGTGGCTCGACGCGCTCTCCAAGTGCGTGGGGAGGGGGGGCGGGGGGATGGGATGTTGGCGGAGGGGGGGATGGGGAGGGGAGTGGGGGAAAGAGGGGTGGGGGAATGGGGGGAAGGGAATTGAGGTGGGGGGACTGGGAGGGGCGGAGCAAGAGGGCGAGTTGCGGGTCCGTCACCGTCTGGGGACACGGGGAGGACGCTCAATAGCCAGGCGAGCCGCGCTCGCCGAGGAATGATGAGCTGCCAGCGCGCTATCCGCCGCGGCCGTGATGTGCCGCGGTGGGCGTGCAGTGCCGTGCAGTGCAGTGCAGTGCCGTGCAGTGCATTGTAGTGCAGTGCAGTGCAGTGCAGTGCAGTGCAGTGCAGTGCAGTGCAGTGCAGTGCAGTGCAGTGCAGTGCAGTGCAGTGCAGTGCCGTGCCGTGCAGTGCAGTGCAGTGCAGTGCAGTGCAGTGCAGTGCCGTGCAGTGCAGTGCAGTGCAGTGCAGTGCAGTGCAGTGCCGTGCAGTGCAGTGCCGTGCAGTGCCGTGCCGTGCAGTGCAGTGCAGTGCAGTGCAGTGCAGTGCAGTGCAGTGCAGTGCAGTGCAGTGCAGTGCAGTGCAGTGCCGTGCAGTGCAGTGCCGTGCAGTGCAGTGCAGTGCAGTGCAGTGCAGTGCAGTGCAGTGCAGTGCAGTGCAGTGCTGTGCCGTGCAGTGCAGTGCAGTGCAGTGCAGTGCAGTGCAGTGCCGTGCAGTGCAGTGCAGTGCAGTGCAGTGCCGTGCAGCCCAGCGCCGGACCTCGTTCAGGATCATCTCTTTCTTCCCTTTCTCCCGCCCATCCCCAGTCCCCTTCCTTTGCCCCTCCCTCCCCCTCCACTTCTCCCCCTCCCTCCGCTTCTCCCACTCCGCATCTTTCCCGCGCCTCTCCCCCTCCCCCCTTCCTCCTGCTCAGAGTGCCTCCACAGCCCAAGGCGCGGCGCTGCCCCAAGGCGCGGAGGATAGAGTTCCCAGAGGACCCTCTAGTGGAGTCGTATTACGCAAGACACCCTGAGGCCAAGCTGCAGGCATACCGGTGAGGCGCTGCCACTTCCCTTGCTGCCGGGACACGTCTCTCATTGTACTGACCCCATCGCCCAATCACCCCCACCATGTTAGCCCATCTCACCCCATCTCACCCCACGTCACCCCACGTCACCCTTGTCACCGCGTGTCACCGCATCGCACCGCTGTGGCAGGCTGCAGGGCTTCGACCCGCCAGTGGCTCGGCGGTTCGCGTGGCGGCAGCTGGAGCTGATGCAGCAGCAGGGACTGACCAAACGACAGGCCAGGGATGCTGTGGAGGTGAGCGGTGATGTGCGGTGAGGCGATGTGAGGTGATGTGAGGTGAGGCGATGTGAGGTCATGTGAGGTGGTGCGAGCTGATGCAGCGGGGTGAGCGGTGATGTGAGGTGAGGTGATGCGTCGATTTGCTGTGTGCGGCAGGGGTGCTGCAGTGGATGGCGAGAGGCGCTGTGGTGGCGGCAGTTCTTCACTCTCTCATCCTCGCCTCCCCTCATCCTCGCCTCCCCTCCTGCTTTGTCTCCCTTTTCCTATGCGCAGGTCACCTCATTGCGCATGTCACCTCATTGCGCATGTCACCTCATTGTGCATGTCACCTCATTGTGCATGTCACCTCATTGTGCATGTCACCTCATTGTGCATGTCACCTCATTGTGCATGTCACCTCATTGTGCATGTCACCTCATTGTGCATGTCACCTCATTGTGCATGTCACCTCATTGTGCATGTCACCTCATTGTGCATGTCACCTCATTGTGCATGTCACCTCATTGTGCATGTCACCTCATTGTGCATGTCACCTCATTGTGCATGTCACCTTATTGTGCATGTCACCTCATTGTGCATGTCACCTCATTGTGCATGTCACCTCATTGTGCATGTCACCTCATTGTGCATGTCACCTCATTGTGCAATCGCCCGACCTCCACAACCCTTCATCTGATCACCCCTGCCCCCTCTCCTTCTCCCTCTCCCCCCCAACCCCACCACCAGGCGGAGTTCACACGGGCGGAGCAGGAGGAGGAGGAGCGGGCGGTGCAGGAGTGGCGCCGGGCCATTCGGGAGGGGCGCCAGCCGGCAGCAGTGCAGTGCAGTGCGGTGGAGGAGGTGCAGCAGGAGGAGCGCGCTCACATGCTAGCAGGCCTTGAAGCCATGGGGGCTCAGCTCGAGGCTGCTGCTGCCGAAGCTGAGGCGGAGGCTCGGGCTGCGCAGAGAAGCGTTGGGAGATAGAGCCCCCCGGATTAACTGCACAGATTTGTGTGATTGAAAGACAAGGCAGCCCTTGTAGAAACGTTTGAGTTTGTGTAGTGTAGCCAGCAGGGAGGGAGGGTCTGCGGCATCGTGTTCTTTCAGGGCACGTGGAGATGACATTTCGAGCTCTCACGTCGGGTTTTTTCCAGGAGTTGGGGAATTCAAGTTATTGCTCAAATTGCAGCACACACTGCACTGACTAGAGCCACTGCTGCTCACATTTCATCATCCTCATTGTCGCTGGCTCTGCTCCTTCGTCTTGCCTGCTGCACTCTTGCTTGCGTTGAGTGCCACCATGTCTCGTGGCCTGGAATGAAATCGTTCTGCCTGTGATTGTGTCGGGTCATCTGCAGCAAGGCCATGTTAGAAGAACTACCGTCATACCCCGGATATGCCCCCATGGGGGGCACTAATAAAACATGTTTTTTTTAGGGGGTGGGCTTATAATATGGTAAAATTATAAGCGCCGGCGTTTATGTTATGTGTAAGGAAAATTCCTTTTCCTTAGCATCCCTGCTCAACGCGTACATCACTGTAGCACCACAGTCAGCACCGTTACCACTCGCAACCCTCGCACCGACAATCCGCCCGCCACCTTCGCACTGTTGGGAACAAATACGGTAGTCTTAAGCGCCTCTGTCGTGTCGAAACTCAAGACACAAGCGAAGCAGCTCAAATCGAAGCACCGCGAGTCAACCCTCGGAGGTTAACGTAACCGCTGGAGGTTACGAGAAAGTCAAAGGTCAGCGACCTTTGACCTGAGGCAGCGCGACAGCAAGGACACACAACTGACTCGACATTGAGCAGTTGCCCGAGTCGCACTGTATCGAACCGCAACAGTAAAACTGTTACAATTACGGTATGTCTCTTCATATTCTCTGTACTCATACCGTATTACCCCGGACATACCACCCTAGGGTGCTATGATAACTACACAAAAAAAAGGGGGGGGGTCTTGTCATCGGAAAAGGCTACATTGCACCCGGGTCGTTACATAATGTATATTCTTTTTAGAGCACAAAAGGTTGAGAACAAAATGTACATGTTTGACGCGGTGGTAGATTGTTGGTTGGGTGCGCAAAACCGAGGACTGGGCGATAACGTTAGTCTCGTGGGTTAGCTGCCACATTGCAAGCTCCAACAAGGCCCACAGTCAGGCCCTGATTGGAAAGAAGACACACCCCCCAGGGCTGACGTTTCATTTCGGGCCCCCCTGATTTCGGGAAAAAAATTCTCCCTGGATTATGAGGGCACATATTTCGTAGGTTTGCTACTCTGATTGGTCAGTGTCCAACAACGACTTACTCAGAGTTGTCAGGGTTCAGAGCAAGAAATCAGTGTTGTAGCCAATCACGCAAATTTCTCCCATTTCCCTCCCACGCCTCACTTCCCTGGCCGGTCGAAATCAAACAGAACACACAACCAAGCTGGCAGTCGTGATTTTACTGTACTGAAGTCACACAAGCTGTTGGGTCAGATCACGGTTCTTCTGAAGTTCGCCTGCCATAAAACTGGACAAGTGTACGCGAAAGTACACGTCAGTGTGACTTGGCACCACACAGCCACGAATATCGCCCACAATGTGCCACCCAAAGTACAGTGCACGTTCGCCGTCAACCACAGTGTATATTTGCAAAAACTGCAATATTACCCGTACATAACACCCACCCCCCGGGTGCTACATCAGATCGCCCCAAAAGGGGGGTATAGTAGAAATGAGGCCCGCTATAGCAGCCCCCCCGCACAAGCCACCCGGGGGGTGCTCTATTTCGGCGGGTGGTATGTCCGGGGTAATACGGTATATATATTCCTGTATCTCTTTGCTTTAATTAACTTACTTTGCCCTCTCATACTAGCGCAAGGTGGTTCAAGGACTTTATTCAAACGCTTCCGCTACTACATCATTTACTCAGACTTTAACTCTACTAAAGATCCTAGGGCGTTCAGCCCAACATGGTATCAGAGCTGGTTAGAGTTAAAAATTTCTCTTCAACACTTAATACATCAAGAAGACATGTCTGCTAGAAAGGAGAGGAGCTCCTCCAACGGCTCTCCGGGTACTACCCCTACTCCACCTCCTGCCTCTGGCCTACTGACAGAGGAAAGGACAACAACTAGACCAGCAGCTGGGTCTACGGAAACACCTGCAAACCATGGCGCGGCTTCGATCCAAGTATGATGGAGAAACTCTTCTCCTTCATGTCCTTCTACGAGCAGCATCAGCAAGGAGTACACGCGCAATCAAACAACAGCAACAACAACAACAACGTGACGCCCATGAGTCTCGATGGCTCATCCTACGCACGCGGGAATCAACATCAACAACCTACCTTCGCTCCGTACGAGCCCCAGCGCGGCTCCGTCAGCTTCATGCCGCAACCACAACCTGCACCGGGACAAGAAAGAGCACTGGACGCACTACAAGTTCTGTCGCAATTCGCGCATGTTCTGAAACTACAAACGACAAAACCTTTCGACCGGAAGGATTTCTTTACCTGGTCGTTCGAATTCGAGCTGATGATGGAAGGAGCGCAGATCCTTGGCTTCTTCGACGGGTCCCTGCCATATCCAACAAACGGCACGCAGTATGAGAAGCAGAAGTACACCTATCAATCGATGATGGCGTACACAATACTACTGAGGAACATCTCCCCGACTCAACAGCAGAACATAAGGACTTACCGAGGCTACGGTAACTCCGCGGAGCTCGCGTACAACCACTTGAAGAACCTGTATCAAGCAAAAGACAGCGTAAACCAAAGCCGGTTAATGGCGCAGCTGACAACAATCGAAATGAAACCAGGCGAGAAGGGCATGGCATATATCAGTTGCTGCCGCGAACTGCGCGACAAGCTTCTTCGATGTGGAGGATCGATTTCAGAAGACGCCTTTGTCACGGTTGTCATCGGTCGTCTTGGCCCTCACTAGCGCTCCACTCGCGCCATATTACGGGCACACGGGAGAATCTCTGAAGCAGCACTCTGCGCCGAAATCCATGCTGAACAGCAGGACATGGACCTGCAAGAAGAACGACATAAGAAGAAAACGTCAGTACCAGAGTTAGCGTTTCACACCCAGCGACGCTACAACAACAACAATCGGCAGCAACAACAATTGAAGCCAGTACCTCCGTTTTGCCATATCTTCAAGACTTCAGGGCATCCTCGTACGCACTGCCCGTATCGCCAGCGATCAACAACACCACAGCGACAACTTCGGCCTTCAAGCTCCCAAGTCACTTCAACGCAAGCAACTCCCACGACAAAGATTCAAACCTCAACGACTCCAACAGGACAACCTGCACAAGGAGCAAGAAACATCGTCAACTGCATGGCAAAGACAACAGATTCGTGCATCACCGAATCACCGCCGCACTACTCACCAGAAGAACGACTTGACGAAACCACACCTCGCCGCGAGTCACTTCAGCCGAACCCGACATACGCCGCCATCGCTCAAAGCGAGCCATCCGGAAGAGACACTTGGTTCTTGGACAGTTGTTGCGGACAACACATGTGCTCCTCAGGACGTTTCGTTCAACACGAGCACCGACTTCAACGCGAAGTCGTTATCACCGTCGCCAATAATCAGAACCTGCGAACAAGACGACAAGGCATAGTACAGCTTCAGTCACGGGAGACGAACGTCGTACTACAAATGTCGAAAGTCATAATAGTAGAGGGACTCGGCTACAACTTACTGAGCGCCAGTTAGCTGATGGCGAAAGTGTCAGAACATTAAAGCTTATGCTGTTGTGTAGGCTATAGTGGGGTATCCCATAGGGGGTACAACCAATTAGGGTTTCATATTTGTACTCACTTCATTTCATAGTTCAGTCATTCTCGTTTCAATTCTCACATGGTATCGAGCAGGTTCCCTCGTGGGAACTGTTCCTAAGGCCCTACTACTGCTTCCGCTGCTACTCGATGTCAGAACTTATAGCTTACTTGTTTCTGTAGGCTATAGTGGGGTATCCCATAGGGGGTACAACCCAATTAGGGTTTCCTATTTGTACTCACTTCGTTCATAGTCATTCCATTCTCGTTCTTTGTTTTCACATGGAATCAGAGCAGGTTCCCTCCTAGGGACTGCTTCTAGGGCCCACCGAACCGCGCCCCGAGGCGCGTTTTTTTTTTTTTTTTTTTTTTTTTTTTTTAGCGACCCGTCGTGTCGCCCCTAGCGGACCGTTGCGCCGCCCTTCCCCTCGCGGCTCCGCCGCCCTTCCCTAGCGGCCCCGCCGCCCTTCGATCGCGGCCCCGCCGCCCTCTGCTACGCGGCCCCGCCACCGCCCTTCGATCGCGGCCCCGCCGCCCTCTGCCTCGCGGCCCCACCGCCCTCTGCTACGCGGCCCCGCCGCCCTCTGCTACGCGGCCCCACCGCCCTCTGCTACGCGGCCCCGCCGCCCTTTGATCGCGGCCCCGCCGCCCTTTGCCACGCGGCCCCGCCGCCCTCTGCTACGCGGCCCCGCCGCCCTCTGCCACGCGGCCCCGCCGCCCCCTGCTACGCGGCCCCGCCGCTCTCTTCGGTAGCGGCCCCGCCGCCCTCTGCTACGCGGCCCCGCCGCCCTCTGCTACGCGGCCCCGCCGCTCTCTTCGGTCGCGGCCCCGCCGCCACTCTGCTACGCGGCCCCGCCGATCCGCCCAGCAGCAGCCGCCGCCGCCTGAGCCTTCGCCGAGCCGCCGTCGAGCCGCCGCCGAGCCGCCGCCGAGCCGCCGCTGAGCCGCCGCCGAGCCGCCGCCGAGCCGCCGCCCGAGCCGCCGCCGAGCCGCCCGTGCCGCTTGAGCCGCCGCCGAGCCGCCCGTGACGCCCGAGCCGCCCGCGCCGCCCAGCAGCAGCCGAGCCGCCGCCGAGCAGCCGCCGCCGAGCCGCCGCCGAGCCGCCGCCGAGCCGCCGCCGAGCCGCCCGTGCCGCCCGAGCCGCCCGCGCCGCCCGAGCCGCCTGCGGAGCCGTGCTGCTGTTCCTCTGCTGCTGACCTACCT